CCGGGAGGGCCCCGACCCGGTGCCGCGTGGCCGGGGGGGGGATCCCCGTTAAATTCCGTGTGTCCCGGGGGGGGATCCCCGTTAAATTCCGCGTGTCCGGGGGGGGATCCCCGTTAAATTCCGCGTGTCCGGGGGAGCCCCGTTAAATTCCGCGTGTCCCGGGGGATCCCCGAACCGGTTCCATGTGTCCGGGGGGGGATCCCCGTTAAATTCCGTGTGTCCGGGAGGTTCCCGAACCGGTTCTGTGTGACCGACAGGGATCCCCGTTCCAGTTCCGCGTGTGCCGGGGGGTTCCCGAACCGGTTCCGCGTGTCTGGAGCCTTCCCGAACCGGTTCTGTGTGTCGGGGGGGGGATCCCCGTTAAATTCCGTGTGTCCGGGGGAGATCCCCGTTAAATTCCGCGTGTCCTGGGAGGTTCCCGAACCGGTTCCGTGTGTCCGGGGGAGATCCCCGTTAAATTCCGCGTGTCCAGGAGGTCCCGAACCGGTTCCGCGTGTCCGGGAGGTTCCCGGAGGGCTCAGCACGCCCCCACGGCGCGGACCAGGAAGCCGAGGGCGGCCGCGGGCGGCCCCGAGCAGCGCCCGGGCGGTCCCGGGGGCAGCGGCGGCGCCTCCGCCTCCAGCCGCGCCCGTTTGCTCGGTACCGGGCCCCGGACCGGCCCCGCGGAGCCGCTGCTGCGCCGCTTCTGCCCGGCCCGGGGGGCTCCGGGGGGCCGGGGAGGGCCGGGGGCAGCGCTCGGGGGGTTCGGGGTGTCCGGGGCGGGACCGGGGTCCGCTGTCCGTGGGCCGTCCCCGGCTGGGGGGCTCGGGGGGTCCTCGCCCGGTGCGCTGGGGGGGCGTCCCCGGTGCCGTTCACCGCGGGGGGCTGCGGTCGGCAGGTTCGGGTGGTCCCCGGTGCAGTCCCTTGGGGGGTTCCCCCGTTTCGGGTCGCTCCGGGGGTCGCTCCGGGGACTCGGCAGGTTCGGGTGGTCCCCGGTGCAGTCCCTTGGGGGGTTCCCCCGTTTCGGGTCGCTCCGGGGGTCGCTCCGGGGGCTCGGCGGGTTCGGGTGCTCCGCGCTCGGTTCGTTCGGGCACCGGGCGTTGTTGGGGTCCCTCGGGAGGTGCCCCCGCTCGGGGGTCGCTCCGCACGCCGCGGCCCCGGGAAGCGCCGGTACCGGGAGGTTCTGTGCGGCGGCGCGGGCGCTCAGGTATCGGTGGCGGGCGGCGCGGACGAGCAGCGAGAGCTGCAGGCTCCGGTGCAGGCGGAGGCCCCCGCGGCGCAGCCGGCACCGGTACAGCTTCCACACCGACACCGTCAGCAGCCGCTGAGCCTCCTCCATGGCGGCTCCGAGTGCGCCGGGACGGCCCCGCCGCGCTTCTTGTACCGGGCCGGCCCCCCCGCCACCCGAGG